TGCAGCCGGCAGGCCACATGGCGGGGCGTGGTGGCGAATGGCGCTGCCGGAAATGAGTCTTTTCAGTCCGAGACCGAAATGTAGCCAACGCAAAAAGGCCGCCGCATGTGGCCCTGGTCCTGGTGCACCAGCGCGCCGGCGCGAGAGTCGGTCACTTTCGAAGACTGCGCTCATAATGCACACTTTGTTTTTGTTTTTTTAGCTCTGTAAACAAACAAAGTATAGTTTCAACTCGGTGCGCGCGCCAGAGCGCCCCGCTTTGCCGCTCGCTCGGCCAAGCGCGCCGGTCTGGGCTTGGTCGTTATTAAGGCTTGCCGAGCGGACGCGCCGCGCAGAGCCGTGCGGCAGTAAGTTGCGTCAGAGGATTAAAGTTCGGCCCCATATCGGAAGACCGGCAGCTTACCCGCCACCACCCGGGCCGGGCTCGGCTTGGTGCTCGGGGCCGGAGCGGCGAGCGCTGAGGGGCGAGCGCCGACCTTCATCCACAGCCGCGGGAGCCGTCCCCGGCCCGCGCCCCCCATCTGCCTTCCGCCACACTCCACACATCTCCGCTGCGCTGCGGCCTTTCCCCCCTCTACTAAATGCAATGCACTGCGTCCGATATAAAATGAGTTGCAGAGGAGCGAGGGGAGAGTCTCTCCCGTCATAACCTCGCGAGTAATCATTATTTTTACTTAAGCCTTTCACTGTTTTTATTTTTCGTTTCTCTTTGCATTTTTGCCGCCCGGGGTGTGGGCGTGCCCAGCAACGAAAGAGCTGCCGTGGCCTCTCTCTCTCTCTCTCTCTCCCCCCCCTCCCTCTCTCTCTCTCCTCTCCGTACGTCTCATTTAATTGCTGCCTTCTTCCCAAACGTGACGGTCAGTTTACTCTCCCCCCTCCCCTTCCTATCTCTCTCGCTCTCTTTCTCTTCTTCCGTATTCGACGGGCGAGCTTCCCATCTCCTTTTCTGTTTCTTCAAACGGAAAGTCATCATCTCATGGTGCGTGGAGTGGCCGGCAGACCGCGCTCGCCTCGGCGCTAGCCGCCCGCCCCATGTTTGCTTTGGCCGCCCGCCCGAAAGATAGGAATAAAAAAAAGTTATTTTTCCGGATCAGTTGGGCCTAATGGGACACTGCTATATATGAGGGCGCTGGGGGCGTGTCTCATTAGTGAGCATGGTCCAGTGATGTGCGCGCGGCGGGGCGGGGCGGGGCGCTGCGGTACGCGTGGAGGGGCGTGGGCTTTGGGACGCTTTGTTCACGCCGCCATGCAGGCCAATTAATTAATCCCACCCGAGCCGTTGTTGCACATCGGCCCCTGGACCCATCGCTTCCGGCACGCGGTGTCTGCTCGAAAATACGGAAACATTTTGTGAAACGGGGAGGTTATGATTTAACACGTTCAGTGCTGCGTGACCAACACCGTGGGCCACAATAACATGGGATTGCCTACCCCTGCCGCACCCAACGTTTTAAGAGAGCAGTTCTTGTAACTCCAAAAAGGGGGAGGGGGCTTGAATTTGAATCTCAAAGCGTAAATATGCCAAATATTTCGAGAGAGAGAGAGTGATACAACGTTTAAACTGGTTCGAGGGGGAAACGACTGTTAAACTTTGTGTCAGCCGGCTTACGGATTACACAGATTACCTCTGAAGTATCCTCCGGATATTACGTTGTTTTTTTCTCTAGGATTACCCCAGACTACCCCGGATTACCCTAAAATTTCTCCGGATTACCCTGATTTTTTTCGATAATTTCCTCGGATTACATCTGCCGAAATATCTATCGGCTGTCACCCGGATTATCTTAGTCGTTTCCCCCTCGACTGGTTTAACAGCTGCTGCGTGACCAATGTACGTCATCAGTATTCACTGGTAAAGCTTTGGTGGAGTTGTCTAATGCAAAAGTCAGATAACTTTTTCGAGAGTTGTAAAGAAAACTTGATTGACTGATTTTAGGGATTTCTGTGGGTTTTCAAAGTTTCCAGAGAAATTCAGTTTGAATCCAGCATGAATCCAATTCAATTTCAGTTAAAACCTCATCGAATTTTCAAGATGATTTCAGAGAGTTTTAAATGTGGTTTGAAAAAAGATTTCATAAATCATTGATTTTAAAATTGCATCATGCAGAATGCGCACACGAAAAATGTCATTTGAAAGTTTTAGTGTTCGTCAACGAACGCTGATAAGCCAATCAGACTGCCTCGACAACTGCACGATTTCGAGCGAGAAGAACGTGAGTGACTCTCGGTGCTCGGCGAACACCACCCAAAGCCCATAACCAATGAAGATAAACGAACTTAACATTGATGAGACCACACAGTGGTGTCATTTTTCTCATTGCAAATGTACATCCTGAAAGAGGACAGGTTCACACTGACACCCTCATTTCCTCTTCCCCTATTCAGCTGTACCGTACGTACGGCGCTTTTAGGGCCGCATACACAGCTGTCACTCAAACGAATGTGCGCTGATTTCCTCGTTGTTGGTGGACGGCACACATAGTGCGAGATTTGGCCTCAAAATGGCGACAAAAGTCTGCCCTCGCCTTTGCACCGCGGCGGGAGCAGATGCCACTCGTCGTTCGCCGTCTGCGGTATTTCGACAGTGTGTCGGTGACCCTCAATATTCCATTTGCCGTTACCATCCGAAATGCACCAGACGTGAGGTATAGGTATGGTCTCCTTTCTGGCTTTTATCGTGTCGGCATAACTTTCCGTTTTATGTCCCACGCGCAGCCCCCGGGCTTGGTAAGGAGAGAGAGAGAAGGAGAAGGAGAAGGAGAGAGAGAGAGAGAGAGAGAGAGAGAAAGAGGGATAGAGAAGGAGAGGGAGAGAGGAGGAGAGAGGGAAGTGAAAGTAAGGGAAGGAAATGGGAGTGGCTGGCCGGGGGGGACAGATGAAGGGATGGTCGTAACGATCCCTTCGGATCCCTCTTTTCACGCTACGTAATGCTATAGGGATGAAAACGTGGGGAAGGACTCCAGAGGGTGTTTGTTCTCAATCCGCGTTCCATCTCACAATGTGTGTCTGAAAGAGAGAGAGAGCCCGCCTGAAGAAGCCCGCGGGTGTGAGGGGCCGCGTAGGAGGGGCTATTCGTCGTCCCGACCTCGTCCTCACCACCACCCTTCTCTCTCTTTTGCAGCAGCAAAAAGTCCTCGCCGTCCCGGAGCGACGTGGGCGGCTCGATCAAGACGTCCTCCAGCCTGACCGGGGCCAGCCTGACGCGCGACCGCGACCGGGACCTGTCGGACTACGGCTCGGCGCTGGGCTCGGCGCTCAGCCGTGACCGCGGGGAGCGCGACCGTGGGGACCGCGAGCGCGACCTGTCCGACTACGGGTCGGCGCTGAGCCGCGACCGGGACGTGTCGGACTGCGCGCTCCGCGCCCGCGCCAGGGACAGGGCGGCGGCCACGGCGGGGTCGGCCGCGCGCATGGCCAACAGCACTGCCACCACGGCCGCCACCACCACGGCCACCTCCTCGTCGGCGTCGTCGGCGTCCTCCGTCTCGGACAACCACTCAGACTTCCCGGAGATGGACGCCATCCTCGCCGAGAGCCGGAGGCTCGCCATGGACAACGGTGAGTTGCACCTCAAACCTGTTCAATGATCATGTTTTGTAATTTCACGCACGCTGCACAGAGGACTCTGCAAAAAAAAATAAAAAATAGTTACGTCAATTTTTCTACTCTTAAAACAGGAACGGTATTTCGAAATTGAAAGTAAGTAATTGTTACAAGGGTCAGGTTCATTTAAAGCTCACCCGATCGCCTATTTGACCGACCGGGCACGGTGAGCTCCGACCGGCTGCAGGTGAGAGGTGACGAGGGAAGACAGCGAGGGAGCTCCCCTCTCCTAACCTCTCACCTGCAGCTTGTCGGTGGCGACCGTGCCCGGCCAGGCTCGGTCGGTCGAAAATCCGATTTTGTACAGCTCTGTTAAATATGTTGCATATTTCAGGTTTCTGCAACAGAATACTTTTTTTTTGGTAAAACGTTTTCACACAATAGTTAAAATGTTTAATTTTACATCCCCTTTCAATCACCCTTTCGCCATCATTCATTCGTCAGCTCCTTATTAATGATTTTTCCGCTGTCGATATCCATTTTCAGAACGGCCACCGCTGCGCCGCTGCCCCTGCCACGACCGCCCTGCCAGCGTTCCTGCGTCGCTCTTCCCTTTCCGACTGACACATCTTTGATTTGCGCTTCTCTCCTATTTGCACATCCGCCCGCCCGGCCCATTGTGCCCCGAATGTGTTTTTGTTGCTTCTTTTTCCCCTCCCATTTCTAGTAGTGCCAGAGCAGCAGAGCCGCGCATTGTTTGCCGCCCCGAATGAACTCGATGTTTGTTTGAACGTCGCGAGATTCTTCTTCATCTTCTTCTCCTCCTTCCATGGTCGCAATCTCGAGGCACGCCCACGCTTGGATCGCCGTCGCCACCGTCATCGTGCTGCTATGCTCGTTGGGTTGCCTACCCACCCGGCGGCGTCGCGGCGAAGATTTCCCAGCGGCCGCCAACGGCAGCTCGGCGATATTGGCAGCGAGCTGCTGGCTGCTGCGGGGTGCGGGTGGAAGGGAGGGGATAGCCAGAATCAGGCTCTCTTTGTCCACCTTCATGGTCCGACCACCAGCCTCAAATGTGTACCTTTGGATCAGCCAGCCTCGATTCTCAGCCCGGTACACTTTCATCTCTGGCTATAAATGCTAGAGCACCGGATCTCTACCGGGTACACTATCTCTGGCTGTCAGACCACCGGATCTCTTTCGGGCACACTATCTCTAGCTCCGAAAGCACCCGTAGCATCTCTGGCTCCCACAGTATCGGCTCTCTGCCGGGTACACCGTCGCGGCCGCCGTCGTTAGCAAGCCAACCCCGCGCGCGTGGATCTTCCTGGAAGACGTGTGGCTTTGATGGAGCAGCCGGGTTCGCCAAAGGCCACACGCACCACGCCCCCCCCCCATGTTTATTTACGGCGACACTTTCAGAAACGTGTCGGCGGTGATGAGAAGTGCGGCGCGGCGAAACGATGGAAACACATGACATGCGGTGCACGTTTTGCGCGCTCCCTGGTCGCGGGGGTGGGGGTGAAAAGGGGTGGGGTGGGGGTGCTCATAATCACTATGCCAGGAGGGAGGTGAGGGTCTGGCAGTAAGCCGCTCAGCAGATAGTGCGCGCGCGCGCCCGCGCCATTCAAGACGTCACTGTCATGCCTCTCTCCTCACTGGCCCGCCCCGCCCCGCCACGCCCAGCAGCTACGCAACGCCAACCACGTCCCGTGACAAAGACAGGCCCCGGACGGTCACACAGGCAGGGCGCCCCGGCTGCCGCACAGCATCCTAAATCAAAACCACACACAGCCAAAATAATTTACGGCGAAGCAAATTCGACAGCAGCTGTGGTGGGCGGGGGAAATTTACAAGATTTTTATTAAACCTTTTTAAAGATTTCTTTTTCTAGAACGACCCGCACAATTTATCTTTAGTCCGTCTTGTACTTCAGATTTTTTTTAGTTGCCCCCAACGAGTCTCCCATTTCTCCCCCGCTCTTGTCAAAGTTTTCACACCACCCCCGTAAATTCAGCGCACTATACACGCATTGCTGCACTAAAGCTCGGGCCGCCCGCTTTACCAACGCGGCGTTCATTAAAATGCGCTGCAGGGCGCGGCCGGGCGGCCGGCGGTGGAGGAGGAGGCGAACAACAAAACAAATGCATTTTATTCCTCCTTGTTCGTGCGAATAGCGCCAACACCTGCAAGGTCCTGCATGCCGTAAGTAATTCACCGGCGCCGTTAACAGCCGCTTTACGAGCCTATTAAAAAGAGCCGCGCCGCCGCCGCCGCGCCTCAAGGAAGCGGCGCCCGACCGGGGCAACACCGGGGGGCGGCTGGAGCAGCAGCGACTTAGCGACTTACTACTTTTTGACTCGCGCGGCAGAAAAATAATTTATTGGGCTAGCTTACAGTTGAAAAGAGGTAGGGGAGAGGAAAAGGGTGAGGGGTGAGTAAGTAGTATAGTTCCTTACTTAAACCAGACCAGCCAGCCGGGGCCGGCGGCGCCAGCGGCAGCCAGCGCGGCAGTGAGGCGGACAGACAAGCGTGGTTAATTGTGTTTCATTCGTCACCGCGTCCTGGAAAACAATTAGGGCGGCGGACAGCTCGGCCCGGCGGATCGGGCGGGAGGACGGACGGGGACGGACGGACAGGAGGAGGACTGGAGGAAGAGATGAAGGACGTGCGGGCCGGGGCGTTAGGTGCGTACGGACGGACGGAGGACGGACGGAGAACGGAACGGACGTGAGGACGGATACGGACAGCATAAGCAGAATGAGCCTGGCGCCGAAACCCACAGCGCTTTGTACTTTCATTTTTGCAGAAAGATGCATCTTTCATGCGTGCCATGGCTGTTTCGTGTCGTCGTGGCGTTGATTAAACCTTAAAACGGCAAAGCCAGCGGCAGCAGGGCTGGACTATAAAATTATAGAGTGAGCATCGGGTGAGGCGACCAATCTGCCACTTTCTTGTGCAGGCGTTGGCGTTGGCTGGGCGGGGTGGGGTGAGGG